TTTATCACCTTGTTTTTCTTAAGTGTTGATGAAGTCACCTGACTACTTTCTTTAAAAAACAAACAAACAAAAAACAAGCTCAGCTCTTTCCATACAATAAGAGATGGGAATGTCTGAATCCCCAGGATCTGCTGGATTCTCCCTGTATAGCTCTAGTCTTGCATTTTACTTAGGTGTTTGATTGGCTTGTATGACAATGTTTCCCTTTTATCCTTAAGAACACTTGTTCTTAAGGGTTAGACAACATTAATCAGTATCTAAATGAAAGCCAGCTTGATGATTCTAGAACTATGTGTTGGGCAGAGTACAGCTTAAATTTGCAAGACTACATTTGTTAGTGCTTGCCCAAAAGGATGTATTGTTCTCAAAATACCTACCCCAAAGTGCCTTCGGTGTTCCATCTTCATATTCTGGTGGGAGTGGAGTCTGCAGCTCTAGATTCCCCTGTCTCCTCTCACACCACTCATAGTTCATTTGAAGGCTGGCCACGTGGCTCCTAATCACCTACAGTGCCTGTCTCCCTGCAAAGTTGCTTCCAACCACTTTTGTGAATTGAAAGTAAAGATAATTGCTCTATTTGGGGTGCAGACTGGCTTTATTTAACTTGTGGTATTTAAAAAAATGTTATGTAAACTATAAACTGTATCCAATGAAAACAGCAGTACTTACATGATTTATCACTTCCCCCGGTGAATTGTATCTATCATTTTCTGTAAGTTAGCACTAAGAATCTTATTTTTCTGTTTCTCATTTTTCAGTGAATTGTAGCATTTTCTGTAAGTTGGCATTAAGAATCTCATTATCCACTGTTTCTCAGAGTCACTATGTCATAAATATTTGGAGGAATCCAGCTAGTACGATTTCAAGGGATAGTGTCCTTTACAGACTCTTGTGTTTAGAATCTTGGTGCTCAGATAGTGACATTGTTTTGGGAGGCTGTGAACTCTTAAGGATATAGAGCTATCCTAGCAGAAAGAAGCTGCCAGTAGTAAAGCCTTGAAGGATAAATCACCCTAGGTTCCAGTCTGGCATCTGTTTATGGGTCTGTCAGGAGCTAAGACACGAATCCATGCCCTACACTTCAACCACTGCTGAAAGAGCAGCCCCAGCTTCCTTGCCTTCCCCACCATACTGCACTGCATTTACAGAAATTGGATGCCAGAATGATCTTTCCTCCCTGATGTTTCTCAAGTCAGTAATTTGTCACAGCAACAAGAACAGTAACTACAGTACAGACTCAGGCTCCTCTATCCAGAGAATTTGCAATAAAGCTATATCACTCTACTCCCAGAGATCCACCTAAATCTACATCCTGAGGGATGGGGCTAGAGCATACACTACCACACCCAGCTCCAAACTTTTTTTTAATGGAAAGACAAGTTTATTAATCTTCTATTTTTATGTGAATAGATGTTCTGCCTTTATGTGTGTCTGCCTATACATCATGTGTGTGTTGGCTCTCCTGGGACTGGAGTTACAGACAGTTGTGAGCTGCAATGTGGGTGCTGGGAATTGATCTCAAGTCCTCTGGAAGAGCAACAAGTGCTCTTGACCCCTAAGCCGTCTCTCCAACCCCCAGCTCCAAACTTTTAAGTCCTTGGAAAAATAACTAGTTCCACATGGTGAAAGATGAAATGAAATCATACTTATATTTCAAAATCTCATTTGAATAAATATTTTTATAACAAGCCATTTATTGTATTAAATGAGACTTATAATGTATAATACTTAATCTTGTTAATTTTCATCCCCTCTGAGCTGAATATATCTGTAAAAGGAAGATAGTTTAGAAATATTTATAGACACGGTTTTAAAAGTTAAAATATTTGAATTTTTTGTTATTATTGTGGGGATGGATGCACCCATGCCACCATTACACATATGGAGGTCAGAGGACAACTTGGTGGACTTGGATGTCTCCATCCCTCTTTCATGGGTACTGGGCATCACACTCAGGTCATTAGGCTTGCATGCTAAGCCATCCGCAAGATCAGTTTTATCTCAAATTCAGCCTCTCTACAAATCACTAACAGTCTAAAGGGCTTTGTTGATGCTCAAGTTAATATCTACATGTTCTATTGTTTCCTTTTTTACCTTGACTTTTAAATTTCTTATTAGTATATTTGAGTCTGAGTACAATACAGTTTAAGTTGTTGGTTCACTTTGTAGTCTTTCAAAGCTTGTTTTTAATTGACAAGTAGTTGTATTTATGGCTTATAATGTAATATGTTTTGTAAATGATTGTATCAGTTTTGTCTACTGATAACTGATATTTGATGATGCGAAATTTCTAGGGTACAAAGGGCTTGGTGAGTATTTGAGCAATGAAGTTGATATTATACTGTTTTACGTGACTGTCTGCACAGATGTAGTGTCTGTTTACAGTGCTAACATAGTCTCCCAATTCTTTCTGCTAAATATATGAGGTCTGAGCTTGTTTACATTGACAGCCATTTCTTAAAGATAGTAACTATGAAAGTTTTCTTGTGTTTGTTTGTTTGTTTGTTTGTTTGTTTGTTTGTTTGTTTGAGACAGGGTTTATCTGTAGCTTCAGAGCCTGTCCTGGAACTCGCTCTGTAGATCAGGCTATCCTCAAACTCACAAGAGAACTGCTTCCAAGTGCTGGGATTAAAGGTGCGCACCATCAGTGCCTGACCTATGGAAGATTTTTAATATTTCACAAACTAACTTATCTTTTTTTTTTTTTTAAAGAATGCCTGTAAATGTAGATGCGAACCTTTTATATTTTTCCCCCCACTGAACTCTACAGGTCATTCTTTATATGAAAAAAAAAATATCGTAATAATGGAGCTGTAGCTGCATGTAGTGGTACACACCTTTAATTCCAATACTCAGGAAGCAAAGGCAGGAGGATCTCTGAGTTTGAGGCTAGTCAGTGAGCTCCAGGAAAGCCAGGACTACACAGAGAAGAATGGAACTATGAGTTCTAGTGCATGCCTGTGGTCAAGTCATGATTGGGAGACTGAGCCAGAGGAATTGCCATGAATCTGAAGCTAGCCTGGGCTCTCTAGCAAAACCCCATCTCAAAAAAGAAAAGGAAAAAGAAGACAGAATGAGAATGTGAAACAAATAGACCACATTTATTATCAGTCTTTTTTTTTCTATTCTAAATTTGCTTTTGTGTGTTGCCTCTACTTCACCAGAAAAATGTATTGTGTCCCAGTAGCGAACAGGCTCAGAGATACTATCCTTGGCTGTTTGGTAATAGCTAGACTCCTCTGTATCTATGGTGTTAGTTGATGGTAGGTTTAAAGTTTTCCAACGTGGACCACTTGTGCATCTGATCTTTGTGTAAACTTTTAAAATTAACAGATTGTCCATTTTATTCTGCTACAATCTAATAACTCAGAGTATAACATGTAATTGTACTAATGTTCACATAATCTCCAAATAATTTGGATGAATTTTCATCATATTTAATTACATGATTATTTTTTTACCTTGAAATGGAGGAAAATATCTTGGCATTGTTTTTCTCCCATTTTTCATGTCGTCATCATCAAGTGGTGTTATCTTTGCTGAAGTCTTAAGCAGTATGTTGTTGTAATGAACTAGATTGTATTTGCAAGCTTATGTTACTGAATATACTTAGACTATTAGAAACAAATGAGTGGGTGCTAGAGAGATGAGCCAGAGGTTGAGTGCATAGCTGCTCTTCCAGAGGACCAGGGTTTGATTTGCAGCCATGTGGAGTATCACAATTGTCTTTTAACTCCAGTTCTTGGGGATCCAATGTCCTCTTCTGATTTTTGTGAACACCAGGCACTCGTGTGGTGCACAGATATACATGTAGGCAAACTCTTCATAAAATACATAAAATAAAATGAAATTGAAGATATTGTAAGAAAAATAAAGGTTGTCTGAATGTTCTGTATACAAATTAGTACAGTGGCTGGAGAGATAATCAGTGGGTGAGATGTCTGTGTATTCTATCTCCAGTACCCACATCAAAGCTGGACATGCTTGTAATGCAGTAGGGATGGGGTAAGAGACAAGAACATCTCAGGATTATTGGGTAGCCAGCCTATCTAAAACAGAAAGGTCCATGTTCAGTGAAAGACTCAGAAGGTAAGCCGGAGAGCAGACGATATCTGGCATTGACCTCTGGTTAGCATACTTGTACAGACAGATGGATTCACCCACACACATAGGTGCACTCATGTATATACCATAAGCATAAGCACACATTCACACTCAAATGATGTGCACACATAGACATAAAAATTGCTGTTGTCATTTGCTGGACCTGTGAACTATCTCCTGTCTGTCCCCTCAACAACTGCCAGAACTGTCCTAGGGTTGGCTGGCTAACTTCTGAACTGTGACTATGGGACATTTTGAGGAATTCTAAAGGAGAGTTAGTATTACTAGAGACTGCAGCAAGGAGTAAGGCAATACCTTTGGAACTAAGTGTGACCTGTAACTAGCCACCTGCCATGTGTACAACCTGGAAAAAGCTGCATTATCAATACATTCAAGATATTTGCTCATGGCTCTCTGCCTATAAAATTGAAAACTTTCAGCAGACAAGCAGATAAACTGCTTTTATGTCCATAACGAGACAGCAATAGAACTTAGCAAACTAGTTATCAGTTTATCTTAAATATACAATATTATATAAAATGCAAATTCAAAAGGGTATATACCATATAATTCCATTTTTTCCAATGCATTCAAACTGTTATGTGTATTGTTTGAGTGCATGAATGTACACTCATTCACAAACTGTACATGAGACTCACAGGCAACAGCTTTCTAATAGAACTGCATGCATGCATGCTCATTCAGCTTTGTCTGTACTGTTTTCATTTTTGAAAGAAAAAAATGTCCAGTTTGAAACAAATATGTATAAATATTCTGAGTCATGTTAACTATTTAGGTGTCAAATATTTATTGAGTCTAAATTGAATAGTTTTGAAGCTGAACTGATTATCCATCAATGAAATTTTTAACACAAAGTTGTTTTCTTTGTTTTATAGGAAAAACATCAGAAAGAGGCTCATTTTCCCTGTACAGCAGAGACTCCGGTTTATCAGGCTGTCAGGTAAGTTTAGTAAGACTTATATGTACAGAATGATAGAGAAGATAGAAATTTATCCACATAATTTCACAATTGTATATTCATATAATCTTGTGACTTCATGTAGTGAGGTTGTTTTGTTTTTAGCAACTTAACATACCTTCTTTTCCATTGTCCTCCTCTTAAAATGGTTTTCTTTCCCCAATTTATATTTTTTAGCTTCTGTTTAAATGGAGACAAAGTAGACAAACTTTCTACTGCTTTCTAAAATACATCTCACATCTAGAAATGATTGTTTTTTCCAGAATTAACCTTAGGAAAAGCAAATCGTTGGTACATACAGCAAAGAGCTTGTGATTTAGCATATGTTAACTTTAATGTGCTGTACTGGTGACTTTGTTGTGGTTATGAGAAGTGCTTTTCATTGCCATTGTACAGCTACGAAGTGTTTCAGGCCTCAGCTGCCTTTGACCTTGTTCTACTGACCTGGGTCCTGAGCATATCTTGGGAAATTCAAGAGTTAGAAAAAGTAAAGGTGTTGTAGGCATGGTGGTGCTCCCCTGTAGTTGTGACACTCCAGAGCCTGAAACAGGAAGGCCCTCAAGTTCTAAGGGCTGCATGCAAGACCCTGTCTGATAATAATGATGTTGGTAGTCATGATGAGCAAAAACCAAAGCATATTAACTTTCGTTCAAAGAAAAACCTGTATTCTAGATAACACGTATTTTAATGGATTAGCAAAACTATGCTAAACTAACTTAAACATTGTCATATATATTCACAAATGACAAAAATACAAGTGAATATATAAATGGCAACTACAGAATTATATCTAAAGCCCCCCCCCTTACTTTTTTTCTTCAGTAGCATCCCTCAAGGAACATTAACTCTACTGCTAATACATATAAAATGCTGCTGACATTCTGCAGGATTCAGGGTAATTTAATAATGCTTGATGGGCCTTACTTCAGGTTAAGATGATATAACAATACATTGCTAAATGAGTCTTCTTATATTACCTTCAATTGTAGAACTGATAGGCCATTAAATGGAAGGGGTATAGTAGTTTTACTGGAAGCACTGATAGATTATTGTGCAATTGAATTTTTAATTGATCCTTCACAGAGGATAGTTACATCATTTTTAATTAATAATAGGCACAGTAACTTTTAAACTACCTAGTAATTTGAGCATTCTTTCGTCATTATGATAGTTTTTCTCTTGATACTTATACAGATATTTGTTTGCACAGCTTAAATAAATTATTCAGAACATGAAAAGTTAGCAGTGTTAGTTTTTTTCCCCAGAAGTTTAAAGTTTTATCTAAGTTCATTATTAAGCCCTTCCTTAGGAACAAGAACTTTAAAAATTCAGTTAACTCTTCTGTGTGTGTGTGTGTGTGCGCGCGCACGTGCATTTGTATTGAAAATTATTAGTGAAATTATTAAGAAAATGTAGGGGCTGGAGAGATGGCTCAGTGATTAAGAGCCTGCTGCTCTTCCAGAGGTTGCAAGTTCAATTCTCAACAACCATATGGTGGCTAACAACCATCCATATTGAGATCTGGTGCCTGCAGGCAGACATACAGGCAGAATACTCTATAAAAAAAATAAATATTTTTTTAAAAAAGAAAAAAAAGGAAAATGTAAGTGACAAATGTGTTTACACCTGTTGAGAACTTAAAAATAAGTAAAGCAAAATAATGTGTAAACTTAGAAATAAATTTATATAAATGAAAATACTAGGTGCTGGAGAGATAGCTGAGCCATTAAAGGCAGTGTCTGCTCCTCCAGAAATGACTGGCTTGATCCCCAGGACTTACACAGCAACTCACATCCAACACCCTCTTCTGGCCTCCGTGGTCACCAGGCACTCAGCTATTACACAGATTTCTGTGCAGATGAATACCTGATGCATATTAAAAAAAGAGAGAGAGAGAGAAAGAAAACAAGATTTGAAGATCTTTTTCTCAGTAATTGTCTCAATAACCATACAAAATCTTAATAATAGAGCTGATTTAACTCTCAACAACTTGGCCTTATTGGTACTTACAAATCTCTACATCCCACAGTTGAAGAATGTTTCTTTCAAGGACACATGTTATTACAGTCAAAAGATATGATTCTCCCAAAAAAAAAAAAAAAAAAAAAAAAAAAACACCACCAAGAAAAAATAAAGGTAGTACAGTGACTGGCGTAGGCTTGTAATCACAGATACTCAGGAGCCTGAAGCAGAACCACTCATAAATCATATGAGTCCACGAGATTGAGGCTAACCCTGTGCAACACAGCCAAATCCCATCTCCATGATGAGGGAGGGAGTGAACGAACATACATATATAATCTATTCTAATCATACACCCCATTACTCTCTTCTCCTCTCTTGCAGAACTCCTTCCTAACATATTTTTCTTTCTATTTTCATGCCTATTCCCCCACCACCACCAAAAAAGAAGGAAGGGAGGGCAGAAGGAAGGAAGAAAGAAAGATAGAAAGTCTGCTGAGTTTAATTAGTCTGGTTGCATGAGGGTAGATATGAGTGAGTTACTATGTCATGGGCCACTTACAAGTAGGTACAACACTGAAGAAAGTGATTTCCTATCTTTACCTACTTGGGGGAGGAATGGGACTCCTGTGAGACTCTCTTCCCTTCTTGATGGAATATTGACAGACCTAATCTTGTGTGAGTAACCACAGCTATTTTGAGCCTTCCTTAGGAAACTTGTTTTAGTGGTGGGTGCAGATAATGCAGAAACTCTTTTTAACTAGTCAAAGTTTGGAGAGAAAAATGACTGCTGAGTGTTTAGCCCCTAAGCAAGACATCTCTATCACTTCTAGGGACTGTGGTAGAGGAATGCTGGAAGCACTCGAATATGAGGTGTACTAATAAACTCAGCACTTGTGGTTCCTAGATGGAGTTTTTGTTTCCTCTAAACAAAGAGAAGCCAAAATTTAGAACATATCATATATATTTTCTAAAATTATAATTTATCTTCTAAATTTAAATTTATAAATAAGATATATAGCACATATATCTAATAAATCTTGTGTATAAAGTATATGAAAGTTCATGATATTGTAATATGAAAAGTTAACCCAATTTTTTAAATGGATTTGAGCACTTGAACAAACATTTTATAAAAGAAGAAATATAGTAGGTTGGTTCACATGTGGACACCACATTATAGCTATCTGGTGCATATGAATTAAAATTGTCTTGGCATATCACTACACATCCACCCAAATAACTAGATTTAAGATAATGAACAACGTCAAATATGGAGCAACCTCAGCCTTTCATGTTGATAGTGGGACTATTATATGACACAGTGACTTCAGAGGACTATTACTAATTGTTTTTTAAACTTAAATATTCAACTACACTATATCCTACAATATTATTGATGAATATTTTTCAAAGGAAGATGAAATTATTCATAAAAAGATTAAGTAAAAAAGGTGCATAGCAGTTGTATACATATTATCTTAAAACTGGAAGCAACCCAGATGTTCAGTAACATAATGGATAAAAAATCTTGTTCTGTGTTCATCCATTGAATATTGCTCAAAAAATGTAATGAGTTGATGACATAGGTGGAGGGACATTTGAATCTCAGTACAGCATGTAAGAGTAAGCAGATCTTGAAATACTTTATGTATGAGTTTATATTCAAACATCTATAAAATGGCAAACCTGTCTATTGATAACTTAATCTCTGGTTACCTCTGGAAGGAATGTTTTACTGGGTAGAGCATGGGAATGATTGATGTCTTAATATGTATTCATCAAAACTGATGGATAAATTGAATGCTCAAACATTTTATTGCACATAAGAATATATACTTCGAAGCTGGCTGGTGCTGGCGCACGTCTGTAATCCCAGTACTTGGGAGGCAGAGGCAAGTGGATCTCTGAGTTTGAGACCAGCCTGGTTTACAGAGTGAGTTCCAGTTCAGCCAAGGCAACCTAGAGAAACCCTGTCTTGAAAACCAAAAAAGAACAACGAAAAGAATATATGCATTAAAAAAAATTAAAGTGGAACTGAGGGTGGTAAAATTACCTATAATCCCCAGACTTGAGAGGTGGAGTCAAAAGGGACAGGAGTTCAAGTCCTGCTTCAAATATTTTGTGAATTGTGAGTTCAGGCCTGAATGAGACACTGTCTAATATGTTTGAGGAGGGAGGATATTTATTATAGCTTCTAAAACTAAAGTAGTAAGAAATAATTTTTAATAATTTATTTGTATTTTATGTACATTGATGTTTTGCCTACATGTATATCTATATGAGGGTGTCAGATCTCCTGAAATAGGAGTTGTAGACAGTTGTGAGCTGCCATGTGGGCGCCGGGAATTGAATCCAGGTCCTCTAGGAGAGTAGCCAGTGCTCTTAACCACTGAACCGTCTCTCCAGCCCCATAAGTAAGGAATAAATTTTAACAGCAACCAAAAATATCTTTAAAACCTCCACTGAAAACTAGCCAGTGCTTCAAAATGTAGGTCATCTCAGCAAATGGGTAGCTACACTACTATCCCATCTTGATTATATTCTGATATTATAAGTTCTTTCCAAATGGATCTAAAGGTTTTAAGGCAACCTCAGTTATTGTCCTGTCAGGGATTACTTTGTGTGAGAATTAACAACTCACTATAAAAGCTTTAGAAATACAAACGGCCTGGAATATGACAAGCACTGGTTTTTGGGTTTTTTGTTTTGTTTTGTTTTGTTTTGTTTTTGAGTTGAGCAAAGTCGAAGAATTTATCAACTTAACTATATGACTTAGTAAAAAAAACAAGCTATGGTAACTAAGCAGTATGACACTAGCATGATTAGAAACCCATTAGCCAGGCCAAGACGTCCAGCACAATAGAGCTCAGAACTTATAAACATTTGACTGATCTTTTGATTTTCAGTTGTATTTTTCCAAAGAAAATATGTGCATATCTATATGGGCAAATGTGAGCATCATTCTTTCTTTACACTAAACACCAAAAGTGATGATTCCTGGGCTTGAATACAGAACC